GGGGGGGGGGGAGGCCAAATGCATTATGACAGACCCAGAGACAATAATGTTTTGTAAGCCAAACAAGCTGGGCAAGCCAATCCATTGTTGAGCAGCTGAAAGGCTCCAGAGCGCGGGCGCGGGAGAAGGGGGGGCGGGAGGAGGGAATCATACAGCCTCTTAACAGAAACCACAGAAAGTGCCCTGAATTTTAAAATGAAACAGTTCTTTTTCCAGAGGAAGCATCAGAGCTGTGTTTTACACCATCTTACTAAAGGATCAGTAATCATGTTGCAAGAGTGCCTGCTTTTTGCTAAAATCACCTGCACATCTATACTCATACACGCAAACGTTAACACCCAGAGAAGTCATCGACCAAAAAAGATCCTGACAATTGATCTTCTGCGTTGTAAGCGATAAAAGTTTGGCAGCATTTTAGTGTGGCAAGCTCTGGCTGGTCAAGGCTTCGTCTGCCTTTTCTAGCAAAGGAACATATACGCTAATTTATTCTCCATGACAGATATTGTCCTTAGAAACAAACACAGTACAGAAATGTCCTGAGCCACTGTGTCCTGATGCATCAATTCTAGGAATGAGAAAGGGAAGAAAATAGAAACGAGAACCTTGAGATGGAAAACTATCACTGTGTAATACCAGCCATCTCAAACTACCACCTCTACAGGCTAATCAAGCTGGAAAGCTAACATCTTGCCCACATCCTTAACCATTAAAATTGATCCAGACTTTTGGATAAATAGAAGCAGATTGTTTCTACTCCACTTAGGAGACCACTGCACACAATTCCATGGAAAAGAAGTCTTCCTTGGGCAAACGCCCCGCAAAAAGGCACAGATCCTTTTTTTAGAAAGGCTCCGATTTACCTAAATGCTATGGGAACAGAGCAATCCCCTCATCACTTTGTTGTCCTGAAGCAAACAAATCAAAAGGTAACTGATGCATTAACTGTGAGATATGAAATTAGCTAAAAAATTCTAGATTCTTTTATTCAGGACATTTTCCGCTTCCAGCCAAAACTCAAAAGGAACAGCAGGGAGAGGCAGCAGCATCACAGTCTCCACATGCTTTTGCTTGGCACAGGCCATCTCTTTCTGGGTCAACACTGAAGTGTATTTAGGCTTGAATATCCAAGTCACAGTTTAAGCATTTGTTCCTGGATAGCTGTTTGCAGCTAGGCGTATTTGTGCTAAACTGGGGGTAATCTGTGTACCAACCATACTGGAAGCTATACCTGGAACAACACGTGTCCTCAACTTCAGGAATTTCACAAAAAAAGTCAATAGGAAAATCAACTCTCTTCTGCCCCTCACCATATGCTAGAAACACTTCACACACTAGTATTGAAAAACAATACATTGACTCAAATCTGAAATCCGTTTATAGACTTACCCAGTCCCTTCCATCTTACTCATTACTATACTTTTAAAAATGGTGCTCCTTCTTATTTTTTCTAATGCCAAATATTAGCTATGCAATAACCATTTTCAATAAGGTGAAAGTGCTATGCACAGATTCACAAATGAGGCACAAACTGATATACCGAATTATCTCCCCTTTTAAATCATTCCAACCCTGTATGCATCCTACTATCCTGTTGGTGATTTAGCCTGCAACTGCACAGTAAGCAGTATTATCACTGAATTCTTTGACATGGCTCTCAAGTTCATGGGGAACCGCTAACATGCATAAACATTTGTTTTTCCCACTTCAGGCTTTATTTGGTACTGACCAACACTGAATTTGATCACTGTGATGCCCACTCAGGTAAATTACTGCATTCCTTGCAGTTCCTCACAGTCTTCCTTGTTTATTAGTAGAAGGGTTGTGTCACTTACAAATGCTGCTTCTTTACCCATTCTGACCTCATTTCCCTTCCTGACGGCTAACTAACAGGGGAAAAGCAAAACAACTCCCCACGAACCTGGAGAAATCCTGTTTGCCTCCTGATCACAATGAAAAATTCTACTCTGTCCCTTTTCTTAGGGAGTTCTTGGCCCGTTATTCCTCTGTAGCTCTCCCCAAAATTATTTTTTTCCAGTAGCATCTCTCATCTTGAAAAAGAGCTTCTGGAAGTCTACTTTAAGCCACTCTTTACGGATGCCTTCAGAGAGATCATGAAATCAATTTGAAAATTCTCCCTTTGCAGCAGCCGGGCACACTGTCCCATGATCTTCCAAATATTTTGTTATCTAAGTGCTCAGTTCGGCTAATACACTCTTTTTGTTCCTACCCTTTGGAACATGCCTATAGCCTTTTTAAAATGTGAAGCCACTAATTTCAGGGAAGAATTGCGTATTTCTATCAGCAGCTGTTCAAGATGATGGGCAATGATGGTTACTCCCAGGTTAACATGTTCTGTACTGTTTAAACATTCCAGGTTACATTGATAAACTTAAGTAACTGTTCTGCCATGAAAACATCATATTTATAGGTGGTAAAGTATGGGACAATTACAAGCACGTGCAGCTGTGGGTATACATGAGTATCCAAGCGTCCAAGCCAACAAGAGCTCAAGCTTTTTCATCCCTTCAGCCTTTTCCCTTCCTGCATGAACATTTGCTAAGAATGCCAGAACACAAACGGCACCGCACGTAACTGAAGACCATCTGCATATATAGGACATTTGCATTTACAGGTCATATACAGAGCATGCAACTGCAAGAAGTGGGGCTTTTGTAAGTGAGGGGAGGCACTTGAGAAGGAACCTCTTGAATGGCACAAGACAATGAAGACATTTAGCCAGAGACAAAAACTCGTCACTCTTCCTGTCTTCAGTTCATTAAGTCAATGCTTTTCATTCAAGCCTTTTCACTTTAGGCTTTTATTCAGACAGGCCTGCAGTCTAAAACAATTCCTCAAGACTATCCAAATCAGGGGCCATCTGTACTGGAATTTGGAAGGCAGCTCTTCCCTTTGCAAGAATTTTTCGTCTTGCAAAGGAAAAACAGCCCACCGATCCAGATTCTATAAAAAGCTACTTCCAAGACAGGAAAGCTGTTCAGCCTTCAGAAAGATCCCCTGGCATGTCTACCCTTTTAAGTGTTTTGCCCCACTCTGAGTGCTCACAGGCTAAAAGAAGCTGAGATCCCGGCTGTGGAGGGAGGGCTCCAACTTATTTACAATGTTAGCTTCTAAAAGAAAAATACATTTGAAAGGAGACGCTTCTCTTTACGGTACATACACAGACACACCACCGCCTTTGAGGCGGACAGATTTACGCTAATCAAAAATGCATCCAAAGCAGGCATGGGTGTGGGAAAGGCTGACACCAGGCTGCAAAGGGGCATGTTCTTACCAGCCAGTCATGTTGAAGTCGCGGTAGAGCATCCTCTTTCCAACCTCCTTGCGCTGCACCCTCCGTGGAAACTCTAAATGTGTGAACTCATTTCCCAGCAAGTGGGGCTGCATGTAAGCCTGTGGGCAAAAACCAAGCCACAGATACCACACAAATATCATAAAGCAAGACATCATCTATTTTTAATGAGGTAATATTACCATCTCTTCCCGCTCTCTCCCCAAACACACTTTTTTTTTTTTTTAAAAAAAAAAAAACCAAGGAAGATGACAAGCTCTGTTTCAGCAAACAAGGTTTGAGTACACCAGTCCTGATGGACTATGTGATGTCCAGCAGCAGCTGTAGCACAAGCAGCCCTCTCCTCCTCAAAATCTCTCAGTTGTTCTCCCTGGTTCTCAACATTTGGGATCACTGAAGTACACTTCCTCCACCCACCCTGAAAGAGTATGTGGGGCTAGAGAAAGCAGAGCCTTCTCCTCCTGTGGGTCAGAGAGAAGGGAACGGTCAAAGGCCAAAGCCACAGAGCACCTCTCTGGCTGGACAGGTGCTGGAGCTGTAAAGAAGCTCAAGCTTTCTGATACTCAGCTGCCCTGACAACACCTACCATCTGATATTAGTACTAGCCTTTATTTAATCCTCACCATCTCAAGAAAAGTGAAAGACAGCTCTGTTCCCTTTTACCTGCTAAGCATGCTGCACTCCATCATATGAGAAATTGCAAATAAACATGCGTCACACAACGCTTTCTTGTTTTCTAAAAGCAACTTCTTTCACGGAGAACATAATTTAAGAAAAGTAGCAGCAGTTTTTGGTCACAACCGTAACTAACTTCTTTGACAGTGTTAACAGTTGATCACCGAGGCTACTGTCCTTGCTGTGAGGCCTCTATGGCAGTGGCCCACGATCGTACCTGCTAATCCAAGCACTTCAGAACTGATCGTTCTTCAGAAGACAAGACAACTTAATTTGCTTGTCCAATGCACAATCTTTTATTTGGGATTGATGCACAGATCATCCGACACGAGAGGTTAATCTGTAACCACGTTGTATTTCTTCTTACTGAAATAACCCTCACCCCTTTCTCCCTAATATTTGCATAAACAAGCTTTTTCCTCCTCCTTCCCCTAAAATGCACTGCGAGTGAGTTTTTCTGAAGATGGAGTCACTAGCTGAAAAAAGGTTGGGTTTCTTAACCTTTTTGCAGATAACACTTTTTTCTTATCCAGACAGTTAAGGCAATAAAGTCTGTCTTAGCTTCAGCAGCAGCTGCCGTCAGGGCAGATCAAATGAGCTGGCTTTAGTTTCTGGGTTTGTCATAAATCTAGCGCTCATCAAAGGTGAGCGGCAGGAAGTACTGGAAGCCCTTATTGATCTGCCTGGCAGCGATCACACAGATAGTTCCCAATAAAATATTTCCTGCGTTTAAGGGCTGAGCCTTCTCCCACTAAATTTAATAGGAGTTGGATGAGGCTCAGCACATCACGGGTCGACCCTTCTATCGAGTTGTCGCTGCTGCCTTTGCCAGACACCCTTTCAGACACCCCCTCCAAGCTCCGCCAAGACACAGCGCTGGGAGGCTGCTCTGCGCAGCAAATGAGGCTGGAGGCTGCTTTCAAGAGGCAGCTTTCAAGGACACAAGCATGATCTTGACATCACGATCCCTTCTTGGAACAGGAGCTCCAGCAAATTCTCTCTTAACTGTGCATGGAGAGAATTACATTTTTTCCTGCAATCTACAGCCCACCAAGTCCCCCCACACACATCCAACTGTTCCTCTCCGGGACCATCTAATTGGATCACTGTTCCTCATTACAGAAATGACTGTGAAGTGCTACTGATTTTTCAAAGGTCTAGCAGTACTTGTCCAGATGAGGCTTTTCGTCCTTTCAGAACTTTGGATTCTTTTCAAAAGTATATGCAACATTGCACTAATTTTTGTTCCAGTTGCAATGAAGACATAACATCCCCAGTGATTCGATGCATTCCTACACACTGACAGGACAGAGCTGGACTTCTCTTTTGTATTATTTGTTCTTTGCAGTTGATGGCACTGTAAACAATGACGTCAACAGTCTGCTTCGAAAGCGTAATGCAGATCACCGTTTGATTAAATCATTACAAACCACTGCTAGTTAAAGACTAGTATTGTCTATCTACAAAACAGGAAGCCTTATTTAAAGCAAAAGGCTCATACCTGACATCAAAATGGAGTTATTCAACCATCAGATTATCAGATTACTTATTACGCTGGATCACAGGTCCAGAAGAAATGAAGTTAGAGACTTTTACATCCAACATCTTTCCCCTCGAAAACAAGAATTTCCTTTATTGAAAAGGGAAAGCAATCGGGACAGACTGCATTTCATAAAGATTTACTCAGATGGAAAGTCTGAGGTCACAAGTGAAATAAGATTAATAAAGCTGGCAGAGTTACCAGTGGACTGCTAATGTTCAAATAAGATTTCTCTTCCGCAGCCAAGCCTCAATGCTTGATTTACAATCTAGGGATCTTAACTTGATTCTAATATTTTTGGCGTCAGTAGAACAGAGGGAAAAGAGCAATTTGGAAGCTTCTGGTGGCTGTGAGCTGAATTCTTATGCGAGTAATTTTTAAGTTATTCTTGATGTTTCACTGGTAATTCTACAGAGAGCAGAATGTTCTGATATAAACCTCAGCTCCGACTTTTCAGTCTGGTTTGTTGAGAATTGTTCTCTATTTACTACAAGGCAGGGCTCTTCTCCCTCCCTACCCCAATCAAACTCTGCTGTGCTAGAGAATCAGAAAATAAACAAAAAAGCAACACTAAAAAAAAAAAAAGAAGACATACAAGTAGACACAAAGAAATCCCTTTAACTGATCAAATAAGAAACAAGAACACTAAGTGAACTAATGACCAGAATTTCAACAGAAATGAGGCACCATATTTTCTGTATTTTTTCATTTGTTTAGGCTCAGTTTGAAAGAATCTTCAATAAGAAGCATCATTCAGAGAAAGCAGTATCACTTACCTCCTTATTAATAAAAACAGTGTTTACCAAACACTTTCTATATCCTTATACAGCATGGTCAGACAACATTGTTGTTCTGCATTGTGAAACTAGAATATCTTCCATCATTTTTCTTTCCGAAGCTATTAGAGTTTTTTGGAATAAGTTGGGCATAGTCATATGTTTCTGGTAATCATTTTATGGTAAATTTTATGGCTGGATGTATTTTATTCAACATTAGTTGTATTTAACAGTCTGCTCAACGAAATATAAGTCACGTTTCTTTCAAGAAACCGTTTACTTCCTGCTGTTTTTTTTTTTTCCCTTTAAATATGGATCAGCAAAGCAAATATGGAACTAACCTAAACCTAGACTTACACATTAGCGTTCCAGCTAACTAGGTGTCAGGGAATGCTGTGTGTATCTTATCGTACCTTGCAAGCGTCCTTCCCTCATCCCTTTGTCAAGTCCTGGAATACCTTTTTCAGCTGCTCCTGCAGGCACTGCTCTGGGACGTCAGCAGCACTGGAGTTTTCACTGCATTACATTGCTATTTTCATCTACACCAACTGGATCTTCTATCATCATCATCTCACCATCTTGTACCATTTCCTCCAATTGTACTTTCTACCACATGGTACTACAGCTCAAAATAGCATGTGTAGCACAATATATCCAGGAAAACATCTATAAATTAAACCATCCATTATAATATGGCTACATTCACAGTTAAGCAAAACAGATTAAAAAGTCAAGGAGGTGGTTGTAGAAGGGAGTGAGAGCAGAATCCATCTCTGGATTAGTCTCTCCTCTGTTATGAAAGGACAGGACCCTTTCCATAAAACCATGCATATCTTTTACCATAGCATCACATACTGTATCAGATTACCAAAACCATTCTACACTGGGTGATGCAGTGATCCATAAACTGTAAGAGAACTAGGAAGCAGCTGATTTGTAACTGGAACACTGAGATTTAGGAGATCTAGGTTCATCTTCTGTTCTGGCTTGGATTTCCCAGGCATCCTTCAGGAGTAAATAAATTAGTAAGTAAGGAGTAAGTAGATAATTATCACTTAATCTTCCCTTGAATAATGAAGTGAGAATACACCCTCTGTAAACTCATGTCTGCCCAGGCTGGTGAGCCACTGTTTGCTTGGTGCCAAATGCAAAGAGTATCAGGGCTCATCAGGGCTCATTACCACTGATGGCTACCCAGTACCTACTGGTATTGAACTCTGCCCTTACAGCAGCAGCACACAGTCCTTCTGGGACACTGCCTGGCTACAGGCATGGATACAATATACAACAGCATCCTGTTGACCTCAAATGACATCCCTGAAGAGCAACTTTGATAACTAATAGCAACAGACCCATCTGCAATACTCTCATTCATCATCCGTTTTAAACGCTTTTTCGAGGAAATAAGTAGCAAAATTTATGCCATTTACTGTTACTGTTTAGACTATCAGGAATGAAATTAATAGCCTCCTTAGAAGATAAAAGGAAAATTGCCTCTAGCAATCGTTGCCCACACAACTGCAGAACGCACCAGAGCAGTTCCCACTCAATACTGGATTTTGTTTTCTCTCTCAAGACATACTGATACAGAAAGCCAGAGCTTTCCTAGAGTAAACACTATGTAAGCTTCACCTGCTCATTAAACAAATAAACAAACAAACAAAAATACCACACCACACCCCACCGTTCTGTTAAGACACAAAATTCAAAAGTAAAGGAGGTTTGTGAATGCCTGACAATGGAAGGGAAGCATTCCATGCACTGAACCTTTTTGGAAGCTGAAGGATCAAGGTGTAACACTTTCACACCTTATATCTTTAACAAGTGCTATTTCACTGAAGGATTGCCAATTAGTGCAACTTCCTTGCAAGTTCCCCTGACGCAGAAGCCTGCCTCAGCCCACCAGCATCCCTATGGCCTCCTTGAAATCGGTAGGAGGACCCAAGGAGCTCAGGTGCTGATGCTGGAGCCCCGTGTTGCCTCCCTCTGCAAAAAAGCAGGGTGCATGTGGAGGATGAAGAATGAACATGCCCAGAGTTACTGTAAAACCTGAAGGACTGGCTGTAGAGAAATTGTTGTTTTAAAGCTGCCATGCCAGAGGCCTATGCCCAGGGCCATTCTTGGATATATGGCAAGAAAAATTACATTAAAACAGGAGCTGGATATAGAAAATGTGTTGCCTCCCTCTGCAAAAAAGCAGGGTGCATGTGGAGGATGAAGAATGAACATGCCCAGAGTTACTGTAAAACCTGAAGGACTGGCTGTAGAGAAATTGTTGTTTTAAAGCTGCCATGCCAGAGGCCTATGCCCAGGGCCATTCTTGGATATATGGCAAGAAAAATTACATTAAAACAGGAGCTGGATATAGAAAATATTTACATTCTTCCCCCCCCCCCCCCCCCTTGGAACACATTTGTGTCGAAGGGTAGACTGGAGGGCCTTATACAGTGATACTCACAGGACCTAAACAACTCATTAGCCTGTAGACTTCTTTGCACAAGGAAGTTAGAACCCAGAAATCATGGCACGAATACAGAAGATGCCAGTTAACCTAAACTAACTCCCTGTGTGGCCAAAGTAGTCAGTAGGCACTAAAGGCAGAGTAGAGCTTCTTCAGCTTGACTCTATACTAACAGCATCTACATAGGCAGCTGATGTTTATTAGTCAGTCCGCTGTAAATTCATACCCTCCTTTTACCTTTGCAATAACTTCCCCATGTAGACAAGCCCTGAGGTGAACAGCATCTGCATTTACTAAGTAAAATATGTATGCTAACATGATTAAGTGAAATTTCTTCCTATCGTTCAGGAAGAGCAGAGCAACGTTTTTGGAACAAAGAAACTGCACTTTAATTGCAAGGGAGAAAATAAATCCAAAGAAAGTAACTTTCAGGTAAGAACTGAGAAAACAATACATTGATGGTGTAACAGAATGACAGAAGAATCTGGGGACAGTCCAAGACGAGTAAGGAAAATTATCTGGAATTTCACTTCATCTAAAGATCTTCTCATTAAGATAGATGCAACCTTTGGATTCTAAGGTTGATGCCACCTTGTAAGAAATTTGGAGTCCTTTTTTTTTTTTTTTTCTTACTAAAGTTAAAATGTCAATACTCATGGAATGTTATGTTTGAAATTATGTCTAATTTTGTTTCACGCTCTTGCTGTCTTGCATGTATTTCCTTTGAACATGATACCCATAGCCCTGGCACATTTGCTACATATAGAAATAAAATAAACAAACAAAGGTAAAGAAATTTCCAAAGGAAACAGCAGAAATGCTTTTCAGATCAGCTGCTGTTTTCAAATACAAGCCAGAAAGGACAGTGTTTGAAATTATGTCTAATTTTGTTTCACGCTCTTGCTGTCTTGCATGTATTTCCTTTGAACATGATACCCATAGCCCTGGCACATTTGCTACATATAGAAATAAAATAAACAAACAAAGGTAAAGAAATTTCCAAAGGAAACAGCAGAAATGCTTTTCAGATCAGCTGCTGTTTTCAAATACAAGCCAGAAAGGACAGCAAAAGAGCAAAAAAAAAAAAAAAAAAAA